GGGGGGGGGTCAGAGGGGAAGGGGGAAGGAGGGACGGTGTTTTAAGTAAAGAAACATTTAACTCAGTCCTGTCACCATGGTAAAAGGAAGCAAGCCTGCACCATTCTCAGCAGTTACTCATATTTCCCTGTGGCAGCTGCTCCCTTTCTGTTCACTGCTGCCTTGCATGGCAGGAGAAGAATAGTTCCTGGCTGCTTCATTGTCTTGGGCTGCAGAAGCTCCGAGGAGAGCAGAACGGGAAGCTGACTCGGGGCACATCTGGATTGCGCAGCTCCAGATATGCTTTTGTATACTCCTAGGCAACAACAGCTAACTGGCCAAGCTAACTCCCCTCTCTTTTATAGCCACAAGGGCAACGGGCACAGAGAGAAGCTGAGAACCAGCTTTCAGAAAATGGAAGGAGCCTTGCAAGGCTAGATTAGATATTTGCATGAAGGTCTGAGATAAAAGTATTTTCAAATATTTAGTTATAAGAAGGGCTCTTATCAAAAAGTATGTGCAAGCTGCCCTGCGTTTTACCTTCGTTACACAGCTAGTATTGTTCCTAGTATATCTGCGAGTACATATGTAGCAGCATACCTTTTGTCTAAGAAGTCTACATACCCCCTAATGCCCATCTGCTTAGCAAGATAAGTGTTGGGGAACAGGTAGTCTGCCTCCTATTTCTTGGCTAAATACAAGTCAAGTGGTTTTTTTTGGTTTTTGTTGGGTTTTTTTTTTTTACTTAAACCTTCTTAAAACTTTTTTGTAAATTTATAAACATGTTTATATGTAGTGTATTACATCAGTTTTCCTTTTAGACTTTTAGTGCTTTTACATGCAAAAAGCATGATTTTAACCATTATATTCCATTAGTTCTACAAATTGGTGAAGTTTATTTAATAAGATAAACCATCAATCCATCAGAAATGCCTGGTACTCAATGAAGGCAGAAGACATGCCCGACTATATTGTCAGAGTATCAGAGCATTAGGTCTGTAAAAAGATTAAGGTCCAACAATGTTCTCGGTCCCACTGTGCTAGTGACTAAGAACAGGTTT